ACTCTAATTAAAGTTGCACAATTGTTATAAACGTAAAACTCTACATATCAAACATTAATGTTTGAATTTCGAAAACATCATTTTCACTTTTTATATCTTTGATTTTTTGTTTAATAAGATTTACATACTAACGTGATATTTTTGGGTTTAGTGAGCTTAAATAAATTTGAAAGAACTCATAATCTCAAACGTATTCGATTTACATTAAAAAATACATACGTTCAATTGAAGTGTCATGCAGATTAAATTTTGTAAAATAAAATATATTTATCTATATAGGAGATATACCACTTGATCTATGATCTTTTGTATATAATAAAAAATCATGGTTTTTTTTATTTTTAAATATTCGAATCTCCGTTTTTGACGCGGATCAAAAATCTAGGTTTGCATTATTTTAGTATTAGAAGGAATAATCGGAATAATTCAACTTAGAAATTGAATATACTCTCATTTAATGCAATTCACATTAGAACCTACTAAAACTAATTCAAACTTGTGAATTTGACCATCGTATGTAGAATTGTAGATACAATAAATGCAATTTACCGTACGTGATCATGTCCGAACTAATTCATTACATACATAATAAATGGATTTGATTGAGTCGATTTGGTTTCTATCGGGATAAAAAAATGGATAAGCTGGTCAAAACGACTTAGCACGTGGGTAGACTTCTATGAGCAAATTACATGACGAAAGTGAAAGCCACGGTTATGTATCTAGAAGAATATTTCTTGCACGGCTAAATATCTATGTAGTTTAGTATTTTAGTTTTCAATCGAATTAGCGAAGAACACTATAAGAAGATATGTATTTTGAACTATTGTAAAGATTCTAGTTGCGTTGAATTTGCTATTCTAAAAATGATTAATTATGATAGCAAGTATATGCATTGTGTAGATGACTAGATCACATGTGTGCATATTAATTTGTCGTATTCTTTTAATATCATTGGTAATAATTGTTAAATCTGAGTCTGATTTAGTATATGGACTTGATTTCGGTGGTTTGGTTGTAGTAGGTTCATAGTGGTTATAGGCCATGTGTGTTGGGCCTTAGGTAAAATCTTCATCGACCTTACCTAGTATTATGCGTGATACCAAATATACCTTACCGAGCGTTTATTCTAGGTTCAGTTTTTTTTTTTTCAATTCTCTAGCCGATTCTGTCTATCGTTATCGTTTCATGTTGCCACTGACTTGAAGTTGTTATCGAGTTATACGAACGTTAATATGAGAGTATTTTCGGCTTTGATGTTTAACTTGATAGTTTATTATTTTTGTTAATATGAGAGTAGTTTGTTTCATTTTGTTATATATATACAAAGTCAAATGTTGAGAAGTCGAAGTATTCAATTGTTATTGTGTGTATTTCTGCATGAACTTTTAATTTGATAGTGGAGATTTTGTTTTCTGTCTTTGATTTAATAAGTGAATTATGAGTAACGTGTGTATTGTTTCGTTAGCTCTTTGTTTGAGTATTTGGTGTGATTTGTTCCTATTGAATTTAATTTGGTTAAGAGATTTAGGATTAGAGATTTGTGTGAA